TATGTGTAGATCAGATAGTGGGTGGCAGTAGTGATGGTGGACGAGGGTGGATCGCTAGCACAGCAGTTTCGCACGGCGGCGGCGGTGGTGGCGCCGCTGCGGCAGCAGCAGCGAGCAAGATCGATGCGCCTGTGGGAAGAGACATAGGAGAGTCTCGCGTTCCCTTGCCCGCCTGCCTGCCTGCCTGCGTGAGTTCTCGGCCCTTGCTGCGATGCTGCGAGAAAGCGGTTCGATTTGCGGAGGAGAGCAAATCGTTACTCTCACTCCAAAGAGAAGGGTACATGAACTGTAGGAGGAGCTGGAGCTGACTCCACCCAGAGGCCCAGACAAGGCTTCCTTGGCTGGCTGCGTTAGGTATCCGGACGTTGAACGCTATGGAACTATGGTACGCTGGGCCGTTGCGTACGCTCACACGATTCTATATGTTATAAGGATTGCTCTGTTGGACAAAGGTGGAACGCCTCAAGAACTAGGCTGTAGTGTGCCTTCAGAAAGAGCTCAAGACAGAGCTCCTGGGTGCTGACGATTGTGAGGGATCATTGAGTAGTGTGTCGAAGGTAGCAGCGCACGACAGAATCGCAAGCAGAGACGTCTAGAAGGTATCAGGGACTTGAGACACAGAATGCTCCGGCGGTTGGCTCTCTATCTTTTTTGTTACTCTCTAGTCTGGAGAGGAAATCGCGGGAAGAGTGCGTAGATATCGTCACATCATTAACAATGCTATCGGAATAGCCCGCGAAGACGATGGAGCAGTGCCAGCTATCGCATATATAGCTAATGATGCATTTAGTCCATCATGCGTATGGACAACGGCCTACAACAGCTGTGGAAAACGCGAACGCGCACCAGATAAGACTATGCTATTGCATAGGGACATGCAAGCGTAAGGTTTTCTTGCTAAACACTAGAGGCCAAAAATGTTGGTGAAGCCTGTCCGTCTAAGGCACCTACAAGGTCGTACCTAAGTTTTTCCAACCGAGACAAAAAGCAACACCTAAGTTCACTTTCAATGGGTAGTTAACAAGAAGTGACTCACATCACTAGACCGTCTACACGTTTTATGTCGAGTCCTCGATGAATGCATTTTACGGACCGTCTATTTAAGTAATAGCTACTTAAAAATGATATGTTGACAATAGCTCGCTCTGGGAGTGGCAATCCTCGTATTGGCAACGTTGCCATTTATCGCTCGTCTCCAGTAGGCCAACGTCTTCTAATTAAACGATGTCTAGTTTGCAGGACCGTACTTATACGTATGATCGAGCATTCGATTGATGAAAACGTAAAATACATCGGTAATACATAATGTATCTTTTGAATTAGATCTTTCGGTGGTGGCGATACGTATATCCAAAATGTGCAGCTATGAAAACATGTCGACAAGATCGTATGCGCAGCTCTTCTTGAAAAAGCAAATCATTACAGCTTTAAGAAGCTTTCAGCTATGTTCAGCGTTACCAGTTCACATCTTACATGGGAATGCATGTTTTCCACCTTCAACATTACACATAACAGCTAGACAGTCGACGGTGGAGGTTCTCCTTGCTGGAGAGAGGTGACGTAACTGAATATTCCGAACACAATCGTTAGCTTCAAAGGCACTGCAAGCGAATCTATGGGAAAAAAAAAAAAGTTGCGGACACTCAGGTCCAACAATGATGGAGTTAGCATTTCAATAAGGACCCATGAACGTCTGTGGTTACATAGTGACGGAGTCATTGTACGTATGTATATACTAACTATCTGTATCGAATAACTAAAACAGAGTAATGTGCATATATAATTATACATTTTTTTATTATTAACACACATAGTATTGTCAAATGAAAATTTCGTCCTCGTGTTCAATAATATGGTCATCATTTTATTTATTTATTTATTTGTGATAGTTGTTGTGATCAATATTTTATTATTATTATACACACAATTTTTAAGAGTATGTACACGATCTACGTGATATGTTGCTCATATAGGCTCACATATCGCACCGGCTCAACATATCGCACATGACGCTTAGAAATAGCTATATATAATTGACAAAATGACTAGAATTATTCATTTTTGTTTCTTCTGCACAGTTGTGTTCGGTTGTCTTGCAACAATCGGTTTCTTCATGGCGTCTTTTTTAGCATTATATAATCACGATCGCTTTATACTTGCCACCAGTTCCACCCCGATCATTATCTTTAGCATGATCGTCGTCTTTGATAATAATGGGTTATCGGCTGATCTAATTTGCTCTTCTGTTCAGTGACTTCGAGCGAGGAGAACAGGAGGGGGATTTACAAAGAGAGGATAAACCGTACAGCCAGTCTCAGGGTTGGCTTGTAGGAGACAGGAGGCCAATGGCATTTCGAGCTGTGAGAAAAACATTACAATTGTATGTACGTTTATTTTCGGTTTCCGCTGCTTATCAATCTGCCTTGATACGATTATCGGAAACCTTGTCATCATCGCTACATCCTTACGTATCACCCAGTTCCTCGTCATCTCACCTCAGATATGTCGTTCTTCACCCTTATATTTTACCGACTTCTCATCCTGTCTCCGATAGATCGTTAAGGCTAATGTTATTTAGACTATATTAGTAATGAAAAATCTTTGTTCCGTTTATTCCCACTGATATTTTAGACCCGTACATCACTTGCATTTCCGGGATGCAGGGTCAGTTAACATTAGCCAACTTCGGGGCTCACTCTCGCATAACTTGCGCGTTCCTCTTAGAATGTCTTGGCAAATGCCATTTTTACAGTTATTATACGTAGAAACCTTTTTGTGGCGTAAACACCCATTGCGTCTTTACTGTGTTGTGGGGCTGTTTCACAATAGGCTGCTCCTTTCTTTATCACTACAGTACGATCTGTATTGTAAATTGTCCCGGTCGCTGTTAGCACGATACTTATGATCGTAATGGGACGACACACATTTCTACACAGAGCCTTTATACAGGCTTGTATCAGATTCAACCTATTTACTTTCTACAGTCCTGGTAGAGAGATCATCGATGTCCCAGCAGATGATTATTTTTAGATTACGTTTTTCCTCAAGCGTGTGTTCAACTTTATACACAGCATACGACAAGTAATCTACCTATCACAAAATTGCACGATTTGCATCCTCACCGCAATCGAGCCCAGCGTCAGGAGTCCGCCATTTCTTGCCGCTGTCACAGAATGTCCGGGCTTAACTTGCACGTCGCCATAAAAGCAGAGGATAATCGCCATCGACTAATGTCCTCCAATCGATATTTGAAATACATACTAGGGTCAAACGAAAGGCGAGCAACTGGGTATTTTACCTCACTCCTATGTATCTCCTCACGTCTATGTATCTCCCACTGCCCGTGCGCCCGATATCGTCAGGACACCTTATCAGCTGAGCAGCGCGCGGTTAAAACTTCAACTATGGGGCAATTCGAGCGTCGGGCGATGATTTATTTGCTGTTTTTCTCCATGCATCCCTCAAGATGATCGCAAATTAATTTTTTTGTATTCAGGATATTTGTCGCGTTAATTTAGTGAAAATTAGTTGACTGGAATGTAAAGCCGACGTCAGTGGACAAAAACGCCCTAGAACGATATAGATGCTATGACTCTTATTTTAACTTTATTTATTTGACACGAAGCGTCTTTTGCTTGATCTGCTTTTGTTAGTTTCACCATTACCACATTCACCATGTTGAATCAGCTAGTGACAGTTTCAGTACTGGCCTTATCCTAGCACCGCCCAGTTTTTAAGTTAGATAATTTTGTGAAAGTCCCCCTTTATCGCTTGTATTCAAACAATCGATCTATTATTATGCGATACGCAATAGTTCCGTACGCTGAGCTTAGCTCACAGGCTCTTCTTCTTTTTCTAGGAATGGCCGTTACCGTTTTTGCCCTTGTTAAGCCTCCATCGTTTTCTGATCTTGGGATATCGCTTCATTTGTTCAATAGTTTTTGTCTGTTGAAATATCTCTAGTCAGCACAGCCATCTTGGCAGGCTCATGACTGTGTGCTTGTGTTTAGCATTTACTCAGCACGCTTACCCTTGTACTCTTATTAACGTTTTTGTTTCCACAGCGGCAGCGGCCCCTCCGAGCGAGCCACCGAGCCAAAGGCTGTAGGAAAAAAAAGTTATCCATCATTCGTGTTGCCCCCGTTTCTAAAAAAGAATCATGCCGCGCTAGGAAAGCTGATTCATCGTAATGTTCCCTCATCCTCAGGTTTGTTACACTAGATAGTACTATAACGTAGTGTCCTAGATGGCGTTAATGTACTCCTCTTTTTAGCCTCAAAATACGACCAACGCTCTTGGGAACTTCCTTCGATCCACACTCGCTCGACGAAAGCACCCAGTCCACTATTGCACCAGCCCGACCAACACGATACACACTTGACAAGGCTTAGCTTTCGTCGAGAAGGCTTGGGATGGGAGAATCGTCCAAAACGATTCATCTAATTGTTCTTCGAGCCTGCTTGTGCTGTGCTTACTGATTCGGACCTATTTGCGTTGGTCCTGAGTCTCCTTCTTCTATAGGACTAAAGTTCGTTTGACTGTTGTTGCCTATTCCGAACCCAGTTTCCTGTTAGGTCACTTCTCAGGCACCACCGTTGATCTTGTTTGCCTTGATTCGTTTTCCGTGTTTCTCATGACCATCACAGCGATACGACATCAGTTTCCAAATCTTCTATGTATGTTCGGGTAACCTGCTATTCCGATCTAGCAGGTCCCGTGTGCGCCGGCGGGGGTAACTCGGACCTCGTAAATCCTGGGGGGCGTTTGGAAGTTTCAAGGGGGAGCGGGCTGGGGAGTAGATACGTACGTACAAGGGAAACCTATATA